TCCTCTACTCTTAGTATTATAAGATATACTTAGAAGCTATTAATAAGAGCTATTCTAATATAGTTAAATATATCCTAAAGGTAAGTAATTTCACTTAACCTCTATATAATAGGGGTTTAGTCTTAGTTTATTATTAATCTCTATATAGATATATTATATATTACTTTTTAGTAATCTAGTAGTAATAGCATACTTCTAAAGATATTTAGTAATAAGTTCTATATAGCTTATTTTCTCTTAGTTTTAGATAGTAAAACTTCTCTAAAAAGTTATTAAGAAAGGCTTAAGTCTATAAGAGTAGTAGTATTTAGTAGCTATAGCTTTATAAGTAGTAGGATAAGCTAGAACTATATTACTAGTATAGCTAGAGGCTTAGTACTAGCTATTTCTTTATTTTTAGCTATAGTTGAAGAAAAGGAAGAAAATAGGTAGTATTAGTATAATTAGTGTAGGTTAGTATAACGCACTAATAGTACGTGCTAAGAAAAATATAAAGGAGGAGAAGTTGTTACATCTTCCTATCACGATGTGACAGGGCCAATTTCAGAATATATTGTAAGCATCCACACTACTTGAAACCCCGTGTCGCTTGGTGATGTCTGGAGCGTATGCTGATGTGACGTAAAGACCAAAAGCAAGTGTATCATTGATCTACAAAAGAGTGAGGAAGAAAGGAAGATATATACAGAAAACAAGCGAGGGCATGCCCCTTTGGGTGTTGTGCCATGTACAATTTTGAAAGTGCCAATGTCCGACACAACGATCTAAGTTTCCATCTATCCGTCCATACCCCTTAGACATCGTAGGTGCTGCCAATGGGACCGAACTTGATGTTGGACCAGATGACCTGACCGTTGGGGTTCTGGGCGATGACCTCGGCGGGAACACCGGAGGTGGTGGGGCATGGGCCTCGGTCGACACCAGGCTCGCCAGCACGGTCGACGGGGTAGCTAGAGTCAAGCCAGAGCATGTTGGCAAAGTTCTGTGTGATTGTTAGCCGCCATTTTGTCTTGGGCCAGACTGAAGGGTGAAGACTTACGTCGCTCCAGATGGACATGACGAGAACCATGGGGATCTCAAGGGCGCTGTTGAGCTTGGACCAGCCGCCGACTTCGTTGAAGCGGTCGCGCTCGCCAAAGACGGAGAACTGAGCCTCGCAGAACTCGGGGGTGATATCGGCATCCTCGTTGGGGATACCCTCGTAGGTGGTGCCGGGGATCTCGATCTTGTTGCCGTCCTGGATGAAGAACTGGGACATGCGGTTGTTCTCGAAACGAGTGACAACGCTGGCGGGTGGTATTAGACATCGAATTCCATGTTTATAATAATACCGGAGGGTTGACTTACGTGAACTTCTTCGTGGTGTCGACAGTCTTGCCCGGTCCGTAGAAGTCTTGGTTACCCATGCGGTAAGGGTTGTAGTCGCAACCGTTAGCGTCACAGCCACCGCCGTAGCGATCCTCAGAGTATGTGCCACCGCAAGAGGTAGTCTCGCAGACATGGTAGTTGTTGTTCTCACAAGGGTGGGGAGTCAGGGCGAAAGCCTGCTTGTTGGACTCCCAGACGTCAATCTCAGCGCAGCAAGCACCGAGGTTGCCGAAGCCAGAGTTCTCGTCGGTGGCGGAAGGCTTCCAGCCCTCGATGTTACCCTGTGAGACGGCCCAGTCAGTTCATGAGGCTGTCCGAAAGCGACGACTTGAGCTTACCTTGCCGCCAATGAACTTCAAGTCACGAGCACATTGGGCGTCGCAGTAGCCGGTGCCGTACTTCGCACCAGCAGCGTTGTTGGCCTCGGCGGCAAGACCACCATCCTCGTTCATGGCAACGAAGTACAGGGCGCTGTTCATACCACAGTCGACGGTAGACAGGTCGACATCGAAGGCGAATTCGTTGTTCATAAGGGTGAACATCTGGTACTTGGAGTCGCTGTTCATGAGGTACATGCGAGATCCGATGTTCTTGCCGTACTGGTGCTCTTGGACAAACTTCAGGGTCATGGCGTTGCCGCTGGTCGAGACACCGTAGGTGCCCGAGTAGTTGGCTCCCTCGACCGCACAGTTCTTAGCACAGTCATCAGGGCTGGAGCACTTGTCGGTCCATTGGTTGCCGTCGTAGCAATTCTCGTAGCCACTAAGAGTTTGAGTCAGTCCCACGTGCGAGATAGCAAGTCGTTATCAGTGTGACAACGTACCCGACATTGTGAGCCCAGCGCCAGTTGGCGTCAATGACAACGTCAGAGCTCTTGGTGCTGCAGGAGCCAGAGGTGCAGTCGGACCAGCTCAGCTTGGGGTGGACCTCAGCCTCCTCGGTGCCGACCTGCTGGGCCACGGCCATGGCCAGCATGGAAAGAGCGGTGATGGTGTACTTCATCGTGAAGAGAGTCAAGGGGAATGGAATGTTGCCGGTGAAGACTGGGAACTACTGAATTGCGTGATGAGGATGGAGTCTAAGTCACCTCCTTCGAGTGGAAACCATCGTCCTACTTATGCTTTCGAACCTCGTCTCTCAGAGTTTGAGTTCGCCCCCTTTCGGAATGAGGCTCGCCGTATAGATTTGCTTTGGCGTCCCGAAATCCGGTAGCATCGCGTCGTTGTTCCGTGACAGAATCATTAGATGAACTACCATCAATCGACCAAACGGGGCTAACGTTCCCATGACCAGGTGTCACCCGAGCGGCTCTTCTCAAGGGGCAACATGCTTCATGTGACCTCAACTTCGAAGTCAACCTCACATCTGGAGAATAACTCAAGTGGCAGCCGGGACGAAGATCCCGTAAGCTCCCAAGGACCCACGAAAGTCCCAGCAGAAGAAGCAGTTGCCCAAAGCAGCGATTCCCTCGCCAAACCCGTGGAACTCGTGGCCGTTTGCGCCGGAAATCTCCCTATATCAAACAGTTGCCAAGGTCTTGTCAACGGGGCGCAGTTTGATCCATTGGCTGGATGTTGAGATATCAACGGGTTGTGGCGGACGGATTGTAATGAGCCAAGTCATGTTATCCATTGGGAATGTCTCGGCATCGGCAGGAGACAGCAAGCAGGTCCGGGATGGGCGGCTAGATGTTGCGTGAGCCCTCAGGAACGGCCGCTGATCGCAGCCGTCTTCGGTTCTCGCTAGTTCGATGTCCGAACTGATCCGGCAGGGCTCCCTGGTCCGTCTCGGCGATTGCTGACAGGGACGCGTAGGTAGAAGAGCGCGCTGTCTCTTTCTCCCGCAGCGGACTTCTGGAAAGATGCTCCCCTGCATGTATCCACGTCCACATGTTTGCGCTTGGCAAGTGAGCTTGAAGTTTTTCCAGCCATACAGGCATGAAAAGAAGAAAATAAGTGGATGTTTTGAGTCTTGGGGAGTTTCCTCTTCGGCTCTGCGCCGACTCGGGCCTCAGCCGAGAGCTCCGATATCTGATCATCGCCACTCCGTTAGCAACCCGGCATGAACCAACAAATAGCAACTCCTAACGTAATCTCACTTACCGCGCGCCGTGTAAGTCTGGGTCGCAAAATAATCGAGTGCCACGCCACTCGCATTAGGAGAGGTCGGGCGGCAGAAGACGGCATGAGAGTTCGGTTCCGATGGCTGGCAGCAAAGCGGCAGCCGGTAGTGCAGGCCGCGAGGCCTGTCAGGCTTCGCTTGAGTTGGACTCAGGGGCCAAGAAATAGAGTGTGGCCCGATGGCTCTTGGCTCTGACTTTTGCCGAAGAGACGTCTGGGGGATCTGCGGGGGGAAGTCTTGGCCAGCAAGCATTCGAGCGACAAACGGGCGACGCGGGGATAAAAATGTCGTCCTCATTGGTTTTATAGCGGGGTAAGCGGGAAAACATCACGGCAGACGGAGGTTGACGCTCCGTGGACTTCATATAATTCATATTAACATCCGTCTTCGATTGGTGTCGTGCCTTGCTGACGTAGTCCTTAATATTCGCTTCCGCACATCCAGCGTCGCATTCTGCAATGCCACGACGAGACGCTGGAAGTTACTGTCGGATGGAAAACCACAGCAAATAGCAGATTTAGATGGGGATGTCTTGGAAACTCGATCAGGAGATCTCAATCTCGCGGGTCAGGCGCTGTCATGCTGCTATGCACACGATACTTGGATTGCTGTTCATCGGAACACGGCCCGTCAACTAGTCGCACAACATCAACAAATTGTCGTTGATTCCTTCGGCCTGTTGAGCAAAATGTTGCTACGAATCAGATTCTTTTTGTTCCTGTCAGGGGCTGAGACTTCAAACTCAAACACGGGCCTCCCGAAATACCGGGTGTTATCCGGACTGTAGCCGCGGGCATGTCACGATGCCCGGCTAGAGATGCACTTGGCTTGGAGACACTTGCCAAGATGAATTTGGGGGATTGCCGCCATGATTTATCCACAAGGAACCTTCATTCGCAACTCCGCCTTGGTCTCTTGGCCTTCGCCCGTCTGATGCCTTGGCGATAAGTAGTAGGCTATCATCCTGTCATTTTCTGAAAAAACCATTGCTCTGGGCTTCTTCTTTTCCCCGGACAGCCAGTTTTGCTAAGGCATTCCATTGATCATTGTAGATTATCATCTCCTCGTCAATTACCATTCTGGCCGTGGGTCCGAGGTCTTTCTGATTCAGATGTGAAAAAAACGCTTCGCAGTAAGGACATACATTTTCATGACCTTGACAAGCTTTCACGTCGCAAAGCTTACGTTCGCTCTACAGCCTTTTCGTTCAATGTAGGGCTACACTAGACTAACGCATGACGTAGCTCGGAAATCGGTTCGCGAGTGCAATCTACAACGTATCACTGCCTCATAACAGGTGTGATATCTGCAGGAACAGAAGCTCGGAACTCGGCAAGGCAAAACAGGTTGTAGATTGGCCAATAAGTATTCAACGCCCTGGCCAACCGAAGCACAGCACTCGTAGACAGCCGTGGCGCTCATGTGCAATCTAATTAATGGAAAATTGATCAAAGCATGTGACTTGCCCTTGTATCACCCGACGGCGCCAGAAACGATCACCGCGGTGACTTTCAGCATTTGGCAAAACCATCTGGCACCAGCTTGCTCTCCATCAAGACGTGCCAATGATGGCACGCATACATCTGAGTGTTTGAGAGACTGATCTCTAATTTCCCGCGCTCATAAATATCCTTACCATATGAATCTTGCGCTTCGGCAACATCTTGTCCTTCGTTGATGACGCTAATCAGTGTGCGTACGCAGGATCCGGCATCCTCGAGGGCGTTGTTCAGACCCTGTGCGCGGTCTAGTCACATGGATGTTAACTGTCTCAGAATAAAAGTCCGCGGCAACCCTCAACTCACAAGGAACCATTGGATGCGCCGCATCACCAGCGAGGAGGACTCGGCCTCCAAAGTCGTTCCAAGGTTGTATTTTCGTCCATGAACCAAACTATCTCTTGTTAACGTTTCCCCTTAACCCCCTTGGGTCTTTTGCAAAGTGCACTTACATGGTCAATCGGAAGGTGTGTGTCTGGCTTCACCCATTCGGCCACTGACTTGAAGAGCTCGCAGTACTTTAATCCCAACTTTTTGAACAGCGCCATGCGCTCCTCCTGGGCCTTGGGCTGTTCTTTCCCGTCGTCGGGCCAATATGAAAGTGAGACCTGGAATACCCATGATGCTGGGTCATTGGGGGTTTTGACGTCGCCCACTAGTCATAGTCAGGCCCGTGTACAAGAGTCAGAGGGTTAATGACATACTAGTCAAGAAGAAATACGTTTTTTGTTCAGGGTGAGGACCCAACTGTGCCGTGTTAACTTTGATGATTTCTTGATCAGAATGTCTCTGGACGAACTGTCGCAACGGGATGAATCTGACTACGCAGATTTGAAGCCTGTTCTGCGGTGAAAGTTGCCCCGAAATTCTACCCTAGTCAGCTTGTCGAAGGTGGGCTGAGGAGAGCAATATTTACGAAAACGATCACCGGAGCAGCTGTTATGTCGGTTGCGTTTTCAGGAATAGCTGCGCCCCGCACTATGCTGCGGGCTGAGAAAAGAAGTCAGCCAGAGCCCAATAAAGCTTGGGTTCGCACTCGCAATGACTTACGTCCGTCAGCCCCTATCAAAAAGGCCCCTTTCCAGACCTCTTCTCCGTTGTTGAAAGTAGCAGTCACAGCGCCATTTTCTACCGAAAAGGACTGCAATTCTCTGCCAAATCGGACATCTAATCCTGTACGAAGGAAATCTCTGAGCCGACCGCGGTGAACACGCCTCGGCCCATCGGCTCCAACGTGAGTCACCAGATCCCCCGTCTTGCCATTATACATCGGAACTGATTGGACGCCTCGTGAGGAATGTCGGCGTATGGGTCGGTCTGCGCGCTCTTGAGGTTGGCAGCAAGGTCCTCAGGCAGACATTCATCAATGTTGTGAGTGGCCCAGTGCAACGCCATTCCCCAAAGGCCGGCCCTGTCTTGACACTTCTCGTAAGGTTGCCTCTCGAAGACTTCGACAGGTATGCCGGCCTTGAGCCACGTTACCATGATGTCTTTTACGATTGAAATACCATCTTGCAGAGCCCACTCACCTTTTTCAGTCCTTGGGCAACTAACAAGCCAGTAGCTCCTTGATGAAATGGTTAGTACTGTAAGTACCATGATGTAGCCGAGAACCCACCCGCTCCAATGACTAGAACTCGACTGCTCTCTTCCAGAGACATGGTTTGTAAGTGCCTCTGAGAATGTCGTCGATTCTTCTATTGCGATAGTGATCTGTCTGGGTGATGGATAGATTTTCTGGTGCCCAAAGTTGAGATTGGCTGGGTGTCCTCAACGAGGATTCATTAATGAACGCCTTTTTAGTCTTTGCCTTCATGTGCATCCAGGAATCCACATTAAACTGTGGTTTTGGAAAGACCGACGGAGAGCGAGATTCTCCCAGGTGTGATGGGACCGCGAAATCGGTCTTTTTCGCGAGTCCGAGCGATGCAAATAAGACCTTATTGCTTTGACGGGTCTGTATAGACAGCCTGCCGTTAACGTGCCGACTATCCAGTTTTTCGTCATGCATTACGACTCCATTCATATCAAGCAAGGCAAGATGCAATCCACTGACAACAACGTGGCCCAAGCATGACCCGAGCCAGTTCCAGGTGTTTTCGACATTGGGGGACACCTCATTCAGCCACCTCTGCCTGACACTGGTCCGGCCGCGGGCATGAATTGCACCATGTCATGATGCGAATTCGAGATCCCAAACGAAGCCTTCGCTTTTACATAGATCTCTTGGGCATGCGACTCGTATGGACGTTGAATACTGGCCATTAGCCGTCTACTACCTGGGGTTCCCCTCCACCAATAACGACAGAGCTCATCTTCAAGATTGGGCATTGAGCACTGCCGATTTGGCCGCTTTCACTTGCTCCACCGGCTTCTTGGAATTGATCACATACACCGGGCTGAAAAGCCGTTGGAAGAAGGCGGAATCTCATCTCGAACCGCAACACCCCTCCCCACCTGAGCTTTGGATACTTGGGGTTCACCGTGCCCGATGTGCCGAGCATTCTGGCCAGACTGAAGCTGCCAGAGCCCCTGTTGTCAAGGACTTGGATTTTAATGGTCGCGCCAGTGTCCCGTTGACAGAGTGGGAGAAGGAACGTGGCTTCGGTGCTGAAGAAATGGTGGAGAGCTACAAGGAGACCATTAAGCATGTTGCCATGGTTTTGATCCGGTAAGTTCGTTCGATGCATCTTTCTTAGTACCTTTCCCCAAAAGGGGGGCTAAGCAAACCGGTAAAGGATGGATACTATATTGAGTTGGTGCCACAGAATATTCAGACAGATTGAGATACACAAAGCTGGTTGGTTGTATGGGCGTAGGGGCCAACTTCATGACGAATTGAAACCTCGTAACCATCAAGCTCAGACGGATGGCATCAACAAACATGCCTCGTGTTTTCTAGAAGCATTGGGCAAGTTGCTAATACCTTGACTATCGTTATAATCTGGAAGCAAATGATGTTGAATGCGGGTTCGTCTGGGTTGGGGGCGCTTGAAAAACGACGAGTGCCATGCCCATGTATCTCTTTATCTGTTTTCTCGGCATTCAACTACCCCAGCGGAGACACTGCCGATGACAAGCTACGGAGGGAGTGGGGCACAGGAAAAGCAGGTCCCCGGACTCGCCATTATGGACTTCGAATGGTTAGTCCGAGCAGTCCAACAGAGACTGACGAATTACGGAGATGACGGCAAAATGCTAGCCAGACGTTGCGCAAGGCGTTATTGCGTGTTACGTCATCCGAACCCCGGCAAAGTGTTTTATCGCGAGGCGAGCCGTCATTCAGCGTGCTCGGACATTCCGGCAAGAGGTTAACCGCGACTTCGGCATCGATCGGGGAGCGGTTCGGCGGGAGGACCAGCGAGTCGTCGGTGGGTAAGCTAATTTCAAGTGAGATCAACCAATTAGAAAGATGAAAAGGAGATGGAAAAAAGACATTGTTTCTGACATGCACTGCCGATGGGTTTTCTGGGTGGTAGTCATTATTGGCTCTGTACTCATGGTACTATTCCAGCTCGGCGCTACAGAAACCAGTCCCCGGGTCCTTGTCCAACGGAAGACTCTATCGTTACAAAAAAAACCCAGGCGGGACTACTTGGGGAGTTGCTGCGACTCAACTGTAACCTCACAAAAGAAGCGTCATCTTCAACGTGTTTGCGATGGACTTGTACATCCTGCAAAACTGCTGTTTCTCTCCCCTCTTGTCCTTTCAGTGTTGATTTACATCGCTTTCGTTTGCGGAACCATGTACCTCCTCTTTACCATAGTCACCCTTGTCTTCAGTCATACCTACGGGTTCAACGAAAGACATATTGGACTGCTCTTCTTGTCCTTGGGCGTAGGAACTGCTACTGCACGGCTCATTATTACAATCTAGTCTGATCGCGATGTTGCCCGTATGGTACGAGTCGACAGTGGAACATACGTGCCAGAGATGAGCCTGCATATAACACTTGGGTTGTCTTTCCTTGTACCTCTCACGTTCTTCTGGTCCGGCTGTTCGGCGTATTACAAGGCAAATTTCATGTCAACGATACTCAGTCTCGTCCCCTTCCAGACAGGCATTGTTGGTGTCGTGATTCCCATGACGATCTACTTGATAGATTCCTATCCGATTAAGGTAGCCAATACCATAACGGCTATACCAATCTTAAGGGGCATCGGAATCATGCCACTACCCCTCGCGGGGCCACCCCGTGGGGCCAAGCATGTACCGGGCGCTTGGAAACGGCTGGGGAAATTCTTTGTTGGGGTTTATTTGCGTTGGGTTGACACCTTTGCCTTGGTTATTTCACGTGTACGGAAGGAAGTTAAGAGCCAAGAAGAACACCAAGTTCTGAGTCTTAGTACCTTGAGAAGAAGAAGAAGACTGTCTGCGACGAGCTGCACCCAAAGTAGCTGTCTCGTTGCAAATCAGGTCAAGTGCGCGTCTGGTGACTCAACCACAATGCAGACCCTGCTCGAAGGGTCCTGCGAGCCCAAAGCTCTGGACACGCCCAATGTCTGTACCCGAAAATCTCAGCCCTGCTATAAATAATGTTCAAATTGCAAATGCTTTTCAATCAGCCCAGCCCTCGCTTGCCATAGATAGTGTTCCAGGCCACTTGCAACACGTGGCTACTGAAGGCCACGCTGTCCCTTGCGAGAAACTTACCGCTTTTTGCTTTTCGTACTTGTCAGCCGAATCAAAAACTTCAGATTGCATGTCAACGGCCGAGAGCCTTACCCATTACAGTTGCCTATCAACCCGACACGTTTCTTATTCATGACCATGCATTCCAGACGTGCCTACGCCCATCCCTCAATTGGACACTGTTCCGAAGGACTGACATGCCTATCGCTCTGCGCCGTAAGACGTGCTTCTGAGGAGGCGCTTCTCCTGCAACAGAAGGACCATGTACCAACCGCAACTAGTAACGGCGAGGGCGCCTTTCCCGCGATGTTACCCCAGTCCCATCCCCGCTTCGGGAAGGTTGCAACGATCTCTCGAGTCTATTGGGCCCCGTACATCGGCCCGCAGCGCTTTCTCCTCTTTCCCTTGATCACCGGTAAAGTTTGTGAGATGCATGCTGTGTTCTGGATCAATTGGCCAGAAAGCGACACCTGTACGACCTCCTGTCTGACCTGCATGTTCCATCAGCGATCCTTCAGGTCTAGTCTCTCATGTCTCAGTAAGATCTATTGGGCGCGCGGGTGGCAATATGCTAGGGCTTTGATAAGACGCCTCTTTTTTGATGCTGACAGGGAGGGGATCACTCAACATTGGCAACATTGGCATCGGGGTAGAGTATGGGGGTTAAAAGCTTGGCCCCGGCAGTCATTTTCCTCCGCGGAAATGTTGAATACTTGTATCCAGGCCGTCTGCCCATCACTCATCGTTGTTCTGGCTTTGGTGTGCTACAATATCCAGTGAGATTTCACCATGGACACCGACAGCGCTTTGAAGTCGGAAAAGACGGCAACTCGAGCAGAGTCGGTCGAGCTCGCAGAGTCGCAAACATGGGACATGCACTCCACCAAAACGCTCTTGAGGAAGCTTGATTGGCACATCATCCCGTTCATGTCGCTGATCTACCTGTAAGTTTGTTACATCGATCGATGTTCCCACAATTTCCCACAGTCTCGGGAATATGCAATGTTAATTCACAGCACAGATTATGCTTTTTAGATCGGACGAACATCGGGAACGCCCGACTCGACCACCTCGAGCAGGACCTGAATTTGCATGGAATTCAATACAATGATTGCCTGGCGGTTCTGTTCCCATTCTATATCGCGGCCGAAATTCCGAGCAACATGATGATGAAACGCCTCAGGCCTTCCATCTGGCTCACCTTCATCATGGTTTGCTGGTCGGCGGCAATGATTGGACAAGGGTTCGTCAAGGACTATTCAGGGCTCATGGCCACTCGAGTAGTTCTAGGGATATTCGAGGGAGGCCTGTTTCCCGGAGTCAACTACTACATCACGCAGTGGTACTGCCGACACGAGTGCGGCTTCAGAATGGCACTATTCTTCTCGGCCGCAACATTGGCTGGTGCCTTTGGTGGTATTCTTGCGCGAGGCATTGCAGAGATGCATGGTGTTGGGGGCCTTTCCGCATGGGCATGGATCTTCATCTTGGAAGGAATTCTGAGCATTTTGGTCTCGTTCACTGCCTATTGGGCTATTTACGACTACCCGGCCACGTAAGTTGGGCTGCAGCCTCTATTATGAGCCCTGAGCTGACCGCTTTCTAGCGCTCGATTTCTTAGTGAAAAGGAACGCACAGAGGTCCAAAGACGGCTTCAAGAAGACTCGGGACATTTGTCCAACGAATTCGACATCAAGTACGTGTGGCAGGCTATCAAAGACTGGAAGATCTATATCCACATGCTTATTTGCATGGCCGGCTTCTGCCCCATCTACTCGATTGCGCTCTTCCTGCCGACTATCATCAAGAACATGGGTTACACATCAAACAATGCGCAGTTGATGAGCGTTCCTCCATACGTTTGCGCCTGCTTCTTTACCATCATTGCGAGTTGGTATGCCGATAGAATCAGGCAGCGCGGGGTGTTCCTCCTGGGCTTTCAGCTGGTTGGTATCTTAGGATTCTCCCTTTTGGTGGCTACCAGGAACTCCACTGCACAGTACGCTGGGACCGTCTTCGCAGCCATTGGTAAGATAACAAAAGCTCCGTCACCCCTTCGAGCATCGGTAGCTAACCGTTGCCGTAGGAATTTATCCCCAAATTCCCCTTGGTATGGCATGGAACAGCAGCAACATTGGCGGCAGTCTTAAAAGAGGAACGGGCATTGCAATGCAGGTGATGGGTGGTAACTGTGGCGGCATCATCGCCTCCTATGTCTACCTCTCTCGAGACGGGCCGCGATACACTACTGGACACAGCATTCTCATCGGTTTTGTCAGGTGAGGGCATCCAACACAAAACCAACTTACAGATGCTAATGCTTGGAACTCAGTATGGCATTCTTCTTGACTTTATTCATGACGACTTGGTGCCGTCGCGAGAACGCTCGCCGAGACCTTGTTGCCAGGGAAGCTGGCGTACAGGAGCTGACGGAAGAGCAAAAGACGATGGAGGCAGAACTGGCCGACAACGTGCCTTGGTTTCGGTACACGATTTGATTCTCCTGGAGTCGTCGTTGAGAAGATCTTCGCGCATTGAGCAAGTAGCTTTCTTGTGAGCTTCCTAGAGTGGCGAGGCCGCGCAAAGCGCATGAATTGACGCTGCTGCCCAGCGTTGTTGAGTCATCAGGACTCAATAGGGAAATACATGAAGTAGACAGATTGAAGGCCGGAATAGAATAAACACGCAGTCTGTGCCATAATCAAGATCAGGCCAAGGCAGATCCGGACTTGGCAGATGCCAAGCTATATGTTGACAAAGCGTGTGATGCGTATTCGAGGCGCCCGCAGATCCAAAACACGTAGCCACAATTCTTCAGCCTCGTGATCTTTAAAGCGTGTACCGGAGGACGTAGAAAGAACCTTAAATCGCAGTTCTATCCTGGATCGGGTTCGGAAATGCCATCCGACTTCACGCGGTAAGTCGCAACTGCCTGGTGACCCGTGTCAGATGGGAGCAACAGTAAAGATAACTTGCGGTGACATCAAACTTTGAGACAGACGTGCGAGGATGCTCTGATCAAGGCGTCCCTGTCGGCGGCTCAACAATGTTTAAAGGCTGGATGTCAGGTGCTCGGTAGATCCTTCGTAACGCCGCAGTCCCCTATGTCTTTGACGGATTTAGCCGGGCTAACAAACGCACGATGCATGCCTGCATCTCAAGGATTCCATGCAGTGGCTCAGTTGCCACAGATAGACGGGCGCTAAGCATTACGCGTAAAGAAGCTTTCTTCTCTGCTTGACAGCCGTTCCTTGTTGTCTTGGCGGAGGACAGCGGACGATGTATGTGTGGGTTGCCGAGCCAGAGTCGGGATAACCTCATATCATGCCAATCCATGATGGCCTCTGCTTTTGAGGCTGTTATCATGGCTTCTGGTTAACCTGTTCGGGACCTGTCGATCAGGGTGTTTCAGGAGGCCCGGCCCGTAGCATCAACGTGCTTGATCTTTCTCCTATCGTCCGACAGGTTAACGAAAACGAGAATAGCATCGTGAACATTCAAGGTGAGGAAGAAAGAGTGTTTGCCGAGATACAAGACCGCGTCTGGATTAGACGCGATACCACGCGCATGTTAATATCACAAACGGTGCGCCCGCGCAAATACGCGGAGAAGAACATGCAATAAGTTGCAGATTGAGAGGCTCAGCCACGCTGCTGTGCTGTTGTAGTTGAGATTCCATCAAAGTATGTCGGGGCAAAGGAATACGACGAACCCATCATCCAATGATTCTGACTTTGTTGTCATCTCTCTGTGTGTTGGCTGTGATCCCTTCGGCTCCGCAGGGCTGTGATGGTCGGGGCGGACGAGATGTCCGACAGAGCTTCTAGAACATCTCTCAGGGTCCTTCGGTCTCGGTTTCTTCACAGCTCTCCGACAATGCGGCTGGCGATTTGGCGCCGTTGACGAATTAGCGCGGTGGTGATTTCCTCTGACATGATTTCTTCGGGCCGGCAGTAAGCACGGGGGAAATTAGCGCATGAAGCCATCGATTGAACGTGGTCTTGGCTACGGCCCGGATGGATACTCTTTAAACTTACGTTGTAAACAGGAAATCACTCGGCGACACTAGCCAGCCTTACAGATAGTAGAATCGGCCCCCTCTAAAGGTCAGAGTTACAGGGCTGGAAGTGTGCCTTGCTGCCGGGCTGACAGGCGTCAAGATGGATTTGAATTGATGGGCACAGGGGGGAGCCAGGAACAGGTTGGGGGATGCTGGAGTCAAGCTCACACCCACACCCCGTTAACCCCGAAAGCCAAAGGGCGATTTGAATAATTCATTAGAGGTCACCCCTGGAAATACGACGTATGCACAGACCAGGCGGGAGCTCTGGCAGGAACCTTCATGACAGATGCCATCACAATCACACACACCTCCGGGATTGGGCCGGGGATGTTCATCATCTTGCATTGTAGAGCATCAGAACCCACGCAATCCATGCCGTGTTGATGGAGGCTTTGTGGACAGCCTGACCCTTCTGCGCAGTAGACTCCCGTGGCTGGGCATGTTTGCAATTCCCGAGCCACAGCGGCGTGCCATGCGATATGACGGGACGGATGGATCAGCATGGACATAGAGATGAGCTCAACGTTGAGTCTCTGGCGGATGTACCTGTAGCTCCTCGTGGCACCCTGGAAGCTCAAGCCATCGAGAAGCGGTGCTGCGGCCCTCGAATGCTTAGACGAAACGAAGCCGTACGACACGCACATACACTTTTGCCGCTCTATTTCACCCACTTCTCCTGCCCATCCGTACCCCTATTCCTTGTCTCCTCTTCCCCTAGCCTCCAATAGGAACAGCCCAGATACTCTCTGTACCCGTTTCACTTTCTCCACGCCCACACCATTCCTTATCCGTACCGGCTGGCTCTTCTGTAGGTGTTTCTGACGCACGCGCCCGTGCTTCGTGTTGACTCGTCAGCAAGGCGCAGTTTAAACTGCTCGAGTTTTTCCTCAATACCCGCCCCGGCCAGCCCAGCCCAACGGGGCGTACTTGCTCAGTCTCCCCGAGAATCCCAATACCCAGCTTCCCCGTTCTACCTGTTTCCATCCTCATGATATAACCAAGTGGCCTTGCTCTGCATGTTGAGGTGTCAACCGGACCGTCCAGACTTCAGCAATCCTGTACGAAAGCTACCGAGCCGTTTACTTCAACTATCGAAGCCAGAAAAGAGCACCCGACCGTAACCGGCCCCGGCGCCCAACTCCCGATCAAATCGCCATCCACTACCTTCACCTCACATCCCCACAAATTCGCTTTCGGTCTTCTCAGCTCATCGAGCTTCCAACCACACACGACGCTCGCCGCGCACCTGGTGCCTACCTTCTAACGGACCGCGCCGCTGGAGAAATCCATAAGCAGCTGCATCCTGCTGACATCTCTTGTGTTTCTGGACGCCAACCGATTCGTCGGCTTACCATCCCCTGCTACGGGTTCGTTGCCTTTCCCCAAGCAGGGGGCCGAAGTGCCACGAAAGGGGGAAGCGGCCTTCTGGCTCTCATTCGGACTCCCGGGCGTTCCAGCCAGTTGCGGACTGCCCACTCAACCACGTACGAAGTGTGTAGAATTCCACGCTTCGCCCGTCTAGGAAGAGAGAGAGAGAGAGTCGGGGTCAGGGTGACAAAAGGCTGTTTAGACCGCCACTTGAAAGTCCTGTGTCGCTGGAGAAGATGCCGCGCCTTGGATACAAGAAGTCTCGCGGTGGCTGTGCCAGATGTAAACAGCGGCGTGTTAAAGTACATACTACCTCCCTCACCAACCAAACCTGCATACTCGTATTACCACACTCATATGTCATCGCGGTTGGCTGACGTCTTTTCACTCAGTGCGATGAGAACAAGCCATGTGGCGCCTGCATCAGACACAACACCCAATGCAGTCTTGTCGAGGGTGCGACATCAGGCCAGCCGGCCTCAAGTGACTCCAACAGTATGAGTTGGGAGCCATCAGGGCCTCAGGCCGGGCCAGTGACTAGAGCTTCAAGTCTGCAGCGGAAGACGTCAACGCGCAAAGGATCCAGTGGCAGCCGCAAGACAACCGCCTCATCGATCAGTCCGTCGGCTCACTCACTCACACCACCGAGCTTGCTGGACTCCACGCTGAACTTACCCATCGACTTCATCAGTGACCAGGCTTCTTCATCTGGAGGGGGCAGGAGGCAATCTTCAATAGCAGCTTCAAGCCCCGATCCGTTCCCGTATTTTGTCAAATTCTCTACCGGCCCGGTGGAATCGATTCATCTCAGCAAGTGGATCACAGATCTGGAGCTCATGCACCACTACTCGACGACAACGTCCCTCACGATGCCGAGGTCATCGGATGCGAGCAACATCTGGCAGTTTGAGGTTCCGAAGTTGGGCCTTACCTACATGTTCCTGATGCACCAAGTGCTGGCCATCAGCGCCCTACACCTCGGCCACTTACACCCAGAGCAACGCGAATCTTATGCGCTACACGCCTCACAACACCAGAACGATGCAATTGCTGGCATGCGTGAGACTCTCACCCAAATCACGCCCGATAACTGCCACCCCCTCTTCGCAGGCTCTTCATTGCTGCTCATCAGCGCATTTTCCACGTTCCCTTATCAGAGGAGCGGCCCCCAAGGACACCAGGCGCCAACAGTCGACGACGTTATCGACGTCTTCTTACTTGTGAGAGGCATGAGTAACATTCTGTCCTCGTCACAACCCATCATTCAAGCGGGGCCTTTCAAAAACTTCTTCCATGAAGTAGTCACGCCGGCATCTACTCCACTACTAGACGCCGTCAAACAACACCTAAATACCTTCGCCGCCAAATTACCAAATACAGAGGCCGACCAGTTCAGTAAAGACATTGTCGCTCGGGAAACATCAAATTTGTTGGAATGGATCGACCACGCCACCAACACTACAGCGTTCCCAGAGTTGCGGGTTGGTTTGACATGGCCCACCAGTCTATCGGAGGAGTATATGCAGCTCATGCGGAATCGAGACCCAGCCGCCTTGACGTTGCTAGCCTACTACTCCGTCGCTGTCCACTCAACGGAGAACAGCACGTGGTTCATGCAGGGATGGGGCGTCAACGCGGCTCGGGCGATAGTGTGCGATCTAGATGCGAGCTGGAAAGACATGATACAGTGGCCACTGGCCTTCATCAGTGACCGGACGATACAGCTTTAGTTATGATATCAAAATCTCATGAATACAAATCCCAAATTCAACTTCAAACGACGCGGTAGACTATTCATCGCACACGCCACAGAATTGGAATACTATGCTTTAGTCTTTACGAGTACGACAAGTCACTGTAGGACAGAGTTTGCACCACGTGCTGCTAGCAACTCAGCGCCTTAATCATTACACTCTATCTTCCGTAAATAATACCAGACTCGGCCGTCTTTGAGTTGGCTCGACTCGAGCGATGCCCAGTTTCTGCCTGTACGGCCCGTCCGTCGTCGGCCGAAACCAACATCCCCGCGTAAATCTGGCGGCTAATTGGCACATATTCCATATCCGGTAGTATGCATAGATATCAACAGTAGATAGGCAAGGCACACTCGTCTGGTGTTAAAGACCCAAGCAGGGTCATGTCTTCTTCACCCGGTGGTTCTGAAACGGCCGGGTCTAACTCTGAACGCCCCCGAAAGCGAAACCGAGAAAGTGGGGTGGAAGTTTAAGTGACCTGAGCTCCGACCATTGCTTGACTGGTAAGGCTGATTTGACACTGGATATGTCACCATCCCTTCGTCGGGGCCACGGAATCTAAAACCTGCTGGCTTAACCCTGCGGAAAACGGCATGCAATCATGGAGTGATCGTCGCTAGGGGGGGAAATATGCCCCTACTTGTGTCCGGAGTTGCAAGATCGGACGAAGGGTTCGAGGCGGGAACAACTCCGCCGACTCTTGCCGCTACTGACTTTATCCTTCTTTCCACGTCGGCATATTCAGCAGTATGATGTTCACGTCGCTCAGCGCATCCAGCCGAGAACCTACCTCTGCATCAAAGATCCATATTCCACAGCCCCACGAGCCTCACGATACATCGATAAGACCAGCAACAATGAAAGTACAGTAAAAGCATCTCATCATTATGAGTTGTCTGCTGTATGTTTCAGGTCTGCAGCCGCCGATGGAATACTGGACGAAGATGAGGCTTCAAACACAGTTGAGAAGCTCAACGCTATCTCAACGGCTACGTATGTGCATTATTATTCTCAGAACACCCGGCCCTAATCATAGCTTAGAAATCATGTCATCAGCTGTTTTGGACAACCACAGTCGCTGTAGTATACCGAACAGGAATCCAGCACGCCACAATACGCGTACCGGAAACCGTACCAGCCGATGGACATACGAGTTGATTTACGGATTCGTATTCTGGACAAATACTTCAAGCTATTTACAGAATCGGATTTAAGCCCAGGTGTCAAAGAAGCGAACTGCCTGGAAGAAAGCCTCCTCCTTGCCGTACTTCTGCTGAGGGTCCGAGATGTTGGCCCGAACACCGAAGCCATGCGAGGTGCCGCCGTACAGCGCAAGCGAGAAGGGCTGGCCGGTCGCGCCGAGGAGGGCCTCGATCTCGGCGCGGCGCGCGGCAGGCATGAGGTTGTCGTTCTCTGAACACAAATCAAGGTCAGTGATGCGTTCCTCATATCAAACGCTGACGCATTCAGAAAACACAATGACGTACGGGCAGCAGCGACACTGGCGGGGCCAGTGATGGCCTTGATCTCATCGTCAGTCAACAAGCTGGGGTGCGCAGCGAAAGCGACATTGGCGCCCTTGCCAGCCGCAAGCTCGCGGAAAGCGTAGCGGCCACCGAAGCAGTATCCCGTCACGGCGACCTTGCTGACGCCGAGCTCCTCCTTGAGGTACTTGACGGCGTTGGCGATAATGGGGTCCGTCACGTTGGGGCCATGGGCGGCGAGAAACTGAGTGGTGTTGAAGCCCGGGACGTTGATGTCGTTGGGCGCAGGCTTGCCGTCGAACAGATCGGGGGCAACGGAGATGTATCCAGCGCGGGCGAAGCTGTCAGTCAAGCTATGCATTGCGTCAGCATTCATGGATTCACGACGCGGACCAAATGCCGCGGGAGTGACCGCGGGTGAGACGGCGATTGAGTGCTTACAGCGTGTTCTGCGCCAACTGGACGCCGTAGACATCGGTGAGGTACAGAACACCGACGGAGGTCTTGTTTCCGCGGGCGCTGTGTCCCTTGGGCTTGGAGACGTAGATGTTGACTGCGATGGAAATGAGCCCGATGCACCATTATCGGGCGCGTCGCAGACAGAGAATCACTTACGTCCGTTGTAGGGAACCGTCTCGCCGACCGGGGTGCCGGTGTGGGCGATCGCGGAAACGTCGGCTACGGGGCAGTTCTTCGCGGCGGAGGCCAGGGAGGCGAGGCCGAGGACGGCCGTGGCAATCGTCTTGCTGAGCATCTTGAGTTGTGTTTTGCTTGAAGATCCGGAGCTTGGTCGATTGAGAGCTGCACAAACGGGGATGAGACCGGACGGACGATTCCAGGCCAGGCACGGGAGGGGGAACGGACAGCCCTTAGATGTTTTTAAGATTTAAGCTTCCTCCGGGGTCAACGTCTTTTGCCTGATTACAAATGTCCACAGTTCGGAATCATAATTGATGACCAGCCCGGCGTTTAGCGGAGGTTGGGAGGATCGGAGAATGGCAGGGGAGCAACGGTTGCGCCGTTATTCATCGCCAAGCGTGGATTCTGCACTGAGTGACTGAGCACCACCCTGGCTGAGAACCCTTGGAGGACGTCATTCAATTCAATCGCTCGTCTCTGAAAACAGCTGTGATCGGTGAGATGTCCGGCGGGGATAAGGTTCCAGTCGGGGCCTAAGAGGGAAGCCAAGGCTTGCTCCGCCAAAAATCGCACCAATTGGTGCCACCGGTGCCCTGGTTTGATGTTGCTTTGTTTACTGGTTTAAATGCTACGCCGATAGAGTGTAGTCGAGGTGATCCCTGAATTTTCCAGGGCAGCTTTGCAGCACGGGAAATGAGGATCGTTTGGGACGAATTGCCGTGCGCGGTGAGGAGACAACGTGGGGCAATTGCGAATCATGGATGGCACTCTCGCTGCCGATTCGGCGATTCTGTCCGACTTTTAGCTTCCTTATTCATGGTTTCGGTGAAGATGTCTCACCGAAGTTGATTACGCTGTGCTGAATTGTCACAACGCTCTTCAATACAGAGGGCGAGTTCTGATTGTTTCAATTAGAGGACAAAATCCAGTCGAAGTATAAAAGGTGGTAAATCGTTTATTTATTTTGGGCGATGCTGTTTGGTATTTCACCAAGTCGCCATGGTTGACCAAGAGCGTGGCGCTGCAATAGTCCTCGGACCTCACGGGGCCAGGCTTGGTGATATCCTCACTACTTGCATGCTCTGAACAAAATTTTTATCGCCGAGCCTATCATTTGACAGGTGTATGTAAGATTACTGATCACCGACTAACGTATCTGAGGGCATCGATGGTAGATACCGGCTAGTGACGTGCTTGCCGGTTACGCTCCTTGTTTATGGTTAAAACCCCGATCGAATAAGTGTATTCCTGCGAGTGCTGCACGATGATTGTGTACCCTATGACAAGCATTGCTTTTGAGTTGGAAATAAGAAGAACAAAGTTGTGACAACTCGAAGAAAATCAAGAGCAAAAAAGAAAAAGACCTAAGAAATAGACTTTTTCGTCGCAACGGAGTGCAGTACTCAATAAGGCGCCTGGGCATCAAATCTCTGAAGCTATAGACGACTCATTTATTTCATGTCATCGGTCTCACTACGGTTTCCCTCTCAACCGAGAAAGCCGCGATGAACTCTTCGTTCCGTCACAAGGTTTCCGGAAAGTCACATGGAAGGTCCGTACTGTCTGTCAATCAAGTGTGTGGCATTGCTCTACCTGACTGTAGTTTTCTCGTGTTGTTGAATCTTTGCTAATCTGGGCCCAACTATTCATCCATTTCTTCCGTTCCGCCTACGTGTTTCCGAGTTTAGGACCATCTAGCACCACTCTACGCAGTTGGCGTGAGTCTCTGCAGGACATCCGACGAGGCACTGGAAGTTATTGCGAAAACCGCAACCCCAGATGCAGACCTGTCCTTGTATCTGGATGCAATTCGGGAAGGTTTCACCCGGGCACCAACGCTTCTGGAGAGCGTTGTCTCGAGCCTCAACGGCGGTGCTGAAATCGAGAGGCAAGATGCCTTCGGGGAAGTCGGCGTAAGAGGGTGAGGCAGGCTGAGTGTTCTCAGGAGTAGGCGCTGCAGCAACGAAGCCTGCAATGGCAGCGAAAATGGCCTTAGCTTTTGATTAGTTGAAAGTCAGGACTTGAGTTACGGAGATCTTACGAGAGATTGGATCTGCATTTTGACAATGACGTTGGACTGGATAAGGTCAAGTTTGATGAGGTTGGATTGGTTGAGGCTTGAAGATTTATGTGATTTCGGGTGGGCAGTGATGGTTTTGAGTCGAGGTTGATGGTGCTTCCAGACTCAATAAGACGGGCAAACTCGTCTGCTTTTATACTTTGAAGATGATACCTACTAATTCAAGTCTCTCTAGAATCAATGCTTACAACCATGACGTGAATGATTACTGCCTTGTCTGCCTAAGCTGCCCAGACATCCTGATGACGTGCATGCAGTCCTTCGTTGGTCATCGTATGCGTTGAGGCGCCCAACGCCAATAACCTCTCATATATTCTTCATGAAAGAAGTTACAATTGCGTAAAGCTTTCTTGGGAAGTGTAGTGCCATCTTGCCAAGGCACTGAAGCTCCAATCATTGTTTGCTTAGATCCTGCCCCCTCGAAGAAGGAGCTGGACGATCGTTCAACTAAACAATTCGCTAATGGAGGAGGATCCAACTCGACTGTTTTTGGTCCACACGAGAGGCACAGCAGTAAGAATTGCTGCCTGTTTCACGAAGAAAGAACGCTGATTGATGCGAGTGTCCTTGGTGTCTCATCCCATGGCGTGATTCCTACCTTGGCTCCAGCGGGCGTATTGGGGGCCGACAGGCAGACAATTGACTAACGACACTAAGGTCTTAATCTTTGAATGAGAAGTGGCACAAAATCTAGGTTTCTGTGAACTCATTCGAAAACAGACTGCACTGTTTCCGCGATTCGCCTTGTTTCGTGGGCTATTCAAATGGGAAGAGCTGGACTGCCTTTACACTCAAAACTCACACTCATGAGAGATGCAATGAGGAAACAACCCGCCGCTAATCCTGTGAGGCTGATGTTATTCATTTGCGCCTCCATTTGTGGATTTTGGGGCTGTGGCTACCAATCTTATGATCTTATCAGATCCAACCCCCTGCAGCACTAGATCCTTCCACCACACCTTACAGCAGCTAGTCCCTTGAAGGACTCCTTAGGTATGCCCATATTGGGCATACCGTGCTGACGGATATCCACAAGATGAACGCCCGGGGAAGTGGGAGGGCGTAATCCTTTGGACACTATTCGCTGCCTGGGGCTGGGGAGTTTAAAGCGGGAGCGGACCGCGCCTTCGCTCAACTAACGCAAGAGGCGCGGACGTGAGGTGGCCAGACTGAATGACCCAAGTAACATATCAGGCATCGTTTTTCGTGCCAGATATTGGACTTTATAATTATGCATCCCCGACTGAAAGCCTGCAGAAGGGTATGATGGGAATCCACACGCTGGACGTACAGGTAGCACTGAGCAGATATGAAGCACTGCATCCTGCAGCGATCAATTCTGCACCCTGACCAGGAAGTTAACTGCCCAAGGAAACGCGCGCTGAATGCTATTTGTGCTGCACTAGCTGACGTTTATCCCGCTCATTCAACGCAGGCTTCAAAATCTTCAAACAAACAGGCTGAAGAAATCGATGCGACTAGCGATATTAGAGTGGACTCATCGGGTCGCTTTCAGAATTGCCAAGAGCCAAGATAAGAGCTGTCTTCAGGATTATTTCATATCACAAGTCCGCATAATAACCTCGGCAATATTCATCACTGCTTCTCCATTTACGAACGTTTCGTATCTAGCGCGACAAGGTTGATATCAGAATGGCCAATAATGTGATGTTGTTGGAACTGTTGTTGGAACGGAATATGCACAGTCGGCAGGGGAAGAGTGGTAGCGATTGCCCCAGCAAAGAGGGGTAAAGAAACTCCTCAGCCCACTCGGATTTCCTCTTTTCTCATCTCTCAGTTTTCCTTTCTTCTTTCTCGAGTCATTGAAGATTTTGCCCTCACTCATAATCATAAGCCATCAGGTGTCACGCCTAGGGCCCCAAACGTAACAGCCACCAACAACCCTGCCTAGTTACAGCAGCGATGGCGAACAAGGCGCAGTCAGCTTCCCCTCCGGCCAGTTCGCCCGTGGCCACACAACAGGTGGACAATGGCTCCATAGGAGACGCGAGCGACACGTCATCCGTCGCCGGGGCTTCTACAGACAATTCCTACGCCTCTCTACGCTCTAGTATTCTCGACTATCGTCGCGAGAATGGACGTACGTATCACAGTCTCAGCGACGGCAAGTACCTGGTGCCAAACGATTCCCTGGAACAAGAGCGGCTTGATATCGTCAACCACATGTGGACGCTGATATGGGATGGGAAGTTTTGCCTGTGCCCTAAAGATGAGGGCGCTAAAAGGGTCCTTGATGTCGGCACTGGGACTGGTGTTTGGGCCATGGATTATGCCGACGCTCATCCCGAAGCACACGTTATTGGTGCTGATTTGAGCCCAATCCAACCTTCATTTACCCCAGTTAACTGCATCTTTGAGGTTGACGACCTCGAGAAGGAGTGGACCTGGAGTGAGCCGTTCGATTTTATCTTCGCCCGCAGTATGATGGGATCGTTCGCCGATTGGCCAGCTGTTATCGAACAGGCATACAATAATCTTGAGCCGGGCGGTTACTTCGAGATCCACGATATTATCTACCCTCTTCTTTGCGACGATAACACTGTCAAGGAAGATACACCAATCTCGCGATGGGCGCGCTTCATGCTTGAAGCCTGCGAAAAGATTGGCCGATCCGTTACTATTGGCCGCCAATTTTCTCAGCTCCTTAGAGAGGCAGGTTTCGAGGAGGTCACGGAGACCAAATGCAAGGCCCCACTCTCCGACTGGCCGAAAGATCCGAAGTGGAAGGAAGTTGGGTCAATGGTCCAGGCCTCGTTGCTGTCCGGCCTTGAGGGTCTTTCCCTTGCGCTGTTTACACGAGTGTTAGACTGGACCCGTGCCGAAACTTTGGTTTTCTGTGCTCAGGTCAGGAATGATGTGAAGAACACGAACCTGCACGGATACTATGATGGAATGTCTGTGTACGGTCGCAAGCCATTTCTCAAGAAAGATTAGCAAAAGCCGAAGGATGGTTCAAATTTCAATGTTTCTAGATATTTTCTCCAAAGACGATGTATGATTTTGTAGATACACAAGACTCCGCGCAAACCCACTAGTTCTGTGATGCTAGGATCCAGCCCGATGATTAGACTCTTTAGTATGCCTGTTCTGTGCGGAAGCCCTCAATGCCTCATGTTGGACTTGAAGAAACACATGTTCTCAAATTTTCACCTCTAAGGTAGAACATGCTACCAAGCGGAGGCTGGTTGAAAGTAAAATTATGAGATAATATCAGGCCCCAATGCTAAGCTACCTTAGGCGATGCTTGTAGGATGAGAAGCAGCTTCATCTAAGAGTTCCTCCACCGTTCTGAACTTCAATCCTCTGAAATACTTCTTCCGATGCTCAGCAATCTTGGTAGGAGAAAATGCCAGTGCTTCGCTGTGACCCATGATCTCATAGACGGCCACCGCAACGCTTGCGTCGCTTTCCTTAGCCACCAACTGCTTGATGCTTTGGGCGAGCGACTTCTTCACAACATTGTACTCGGGAAACCTGATCTTCACCAGCTCTGAAAGCTCAAGCCAGGTCATTTGCTGACCAGAAACACAAGTGAAGTTCTCCCAGGTGGACGGATCATGATTCATGAGAACAGCTACAGCTCGAGTTGCATCTCTAGCCGAAGTGAAATCGACCTTCTGAGATCCGTTGCCGTATAGGGTGAATTCCTTTTTCTCGTAATTTTGGACCCATCGATCACCGTAATCGGCAAAGTGTCGCTGCGAAGTGGGGAGGAGATAGTCAGACATCCATCCTTGGCAGAAGAATGTCCACTTGACCTCATCTTGGGCTCGAAGCTTGTTGAGAATGACGCTGAGATCATCGCCGACATAGATGGGCTGATCAGGAACCTCTTCGTAGTTGCCAGCCCACACTGAGGGGAGAAAACTCTTGCACCGAGGAGACGTTCGGCAAGCCTCAAGCATGTCGAGATGGATACGCACGAAGTCGGTGGCGTAGCCCGTGATGGACGAGATAAGAGCATCGCAATCAGCAAGATGCTGTCGAATACTCTGAAGGGAATAGTCTGTCATGCGTTGTTCAAGGCTTTCGAAGAAAGGCTTTGGACTGCGAGTCAAGATGACTACATCGTGGTCCTGGTTGCGAAGCGCCTCAACGAGGTATTTGGCGATGTCGCCTGCGCCAGCAACAGCAACCTTCATATTCAAGGCTAGGCTTTAAATGAATAGATAAATAAGTTCCTGAAAATGGCGCAAAGCTTGGACTGACGAATTGAACCAGAAGTTAAGAAGGCCTGGTGTGATGAGAAGAGCGTGTTGTTCAGGAAGAGACTGGCTTTTAAGTACAAGATGCCGGACTCCTGAAGCACCCCGCCCGATGGACAAAAAAATTTGATTGGTAATAGAAAATATTGAGAGTTGCATTTTAATCAAGGTTCCCCGCCTTCTAATCCGTACATCGGTGTTGCCTCGGTGTCCGGCGGTCGATGAGATCGGGGCGCCTTATTTCTCGGGCTCCCCGCCACGACGGCCCCACTCCGTCATTCGGCCCTAGACTGCCGGTTTCAAGTGACCTTCCCACGATCCATTCCGGGACCATCAAAGAAGTTAAACGTTGTTGAATTCGAACTCGTAGTCCTCAAAAACACTGGAAGAGACCAGGCTACGTCGTGGACCTCATGTTACTTTGCTAAGCTACCTATGTGTAGCGGCTGGTGTTTTTCGCATTGAGGGTCTTCGTAGACCGTGAAGGCGGCTTGCATCATTAACTTCGCGCGGTTGTGGATGGGTTCAGTGGGATGACAGTTATTTTGAAAAGCTGTGCTGCTGATAAAGATGGAATTGAGAGGGTTCCCTGATCAGAACTGGTTGTGCTTGTCGCCGATGCTCCCGTGGTGGTAGAAGTCTTGGTTTCCAGAAGAGTCGAAAGTCCCGAGATTGACGGCAATGCCATTGCATACGATGAAGTTGCGGAGAACGTTAAAGACGAGACAATAGAAGAGGTTACGCTAAGAGAGGAGGTGGGCGAGGAAGAAGCTGAAGCGACGGAAGCGGAAGACAGAACTGAGGTCGCCTCAAGCGGAGTGCCCAATCGTGTACTGCCTGTAGTGGACCCCGAATTACTTGTTAATTCAAGTCGTTGAGTGGTTGTTAGTTCCAAGCTGTTGGTATTGGTTAACAGTCTTGTAAATGATCCGGCGGAGACAGTTGAGTTTGGGAAGGAACGCGGGGTGCTGATCACCATTGTTGGTGAAGAAGTTCCAGGTATCATACTGGTAAGCACACCCGTCGATTGACTGCCCGATGGCAAGCTGATGGTGAAGGAAGAAGAAAAGCTGGTCGCGCTACCGATCCTAACAGAAGAACTAGAAACAGTTGGAAGAAACGACGAGGTCGCCGAGGCGGCACCACTAGTTGATACTGATGAGCTTGGAGGGAAGACTTCCGAGCTGATTGTAGTTGATACAGAGGTGGTTCTGCTGGTAAGGATTGGTGCGGCCGTGGTACTGGTATCTGGCGCAGGAAGGCTTGATGCTGAGGTGGCATCAAGAGAAGTGGGTGTTGAGGAAGTACTGCTAGCGATTGATGGCATGGAGAATGAAGTACTCGAACTGATTGATTCTGCGTTTGAAGTTGTCGAAGATACCTCTGTACCTGAAGTTGCTGTGCTGGAAATGGAAATACTTGTTGTAGAAGTAGTTCCTGAGGACGACGAAGAGGGGCTGCTCGAAGCGCTAGACGTGCTCGTCGTCAAGGTAGGAGCAGTTGACGAGCTCAGAGATGCGGAGCAAAACGTTGCAGTCCGCGTAGAAGCTGCGCGAATTCCATACACGGAGTACAGGGTAGTGTACATTGCGACGGGACAACCTGCGCTTGATGAAGCCGAGGTTGACGCCGTAATCACACCACCACACTTGGGATTGCCGAAGGGCGGATAGGACTCTTGGCATGTGTATTGGTTACATTGGCTATTTTCCAAGGCCACGGAGGCGTCAAAGACGATGGTTGTGCCTGGCTTGGAGCAATAGCAGGAGGTGTCGAGAATGATGGAAAAGTCTCGAGGGATTGCGTTACATCGACGTTGGCAATCAACCGGCCCTGTGCCGCTCCCTTGGTAGATGAGCTCCAGACTGGATAGGTCGGCGAGTGCCCCGCAACCCTCATACGCTGAGGGAGGTGAGGACCAGAATTGCCCCATTTTGAATACCAGCCAGAAAAGAGCGTATGTGAATGTTGTAAGAGGGAGATTCAAGTTTCGCTCTATTGCGACATTTAAAGGGCCTTATAGTGGCATGATCAACCTGTCTTAGTTATTTGTTGGTTGCTCTGGAGTCACAAGGAAACCATTCCCTGGCAAGCCGTCAGTGTTCCAGATTGCGTTCCTAGCGGACACCAAGATCGAACCAAGAGTCGTCATGTAAGACAGTCCCATTCCGCAGCGGCCCGATCTCGTCGAACGGTGTTGCTGAGCAGGTCTACTAGTGTTTTACATGCCAGACATTGCCGATCTTATGAATGTGCGGCCCGGATGCGACTTCGAATCTTCGGCATGTCTATCATCACATGGTGTAGGCAGGTTCACCAGTCGCTCACTCCCTGAAAAAGAGGGTTTTCAACGCTATATTCGCTACCGGAAGAGAGAAGCCATCGTTTGGGTTCAGGACGATAAGTCCTGCTTCGCTTGGTAGTTGCCGCTTTAGAACAATTGCTAGTAGCAGGTTTGCTTCGATACCATTTCTTCTGCGGAAGACAGCATTTCGTCAAACAACGCTTTGACCGCTGGGCCAATAATGTTTGCGGGCATGTCCCTCTCCAGATGTACCTTTCCCGCCCGCAAATATTCGATGTCTGCTCTTGATGACATATTTGACGGGTATTTCATGATGCTTCTATATAAAACAGCGATTGCGGCCATGTAATTGGTGGATTGAAATCTGGAAGGCATTAGATCATTACCAGGCAGCTTCAAGTCGTCAAATGAACCTACAAAAGGGTGTGCGTCTTCACATTCGTATCTCCCATGCTACCCCACCAATTCGTCAGCAATAAATCAGTTGTCAGTGAAGGCCTTTGAGTCAAAAGGTTATACACACTTGTTCAGGGCCTTGATGAAAGATCTCGCAGCTTCAACACATATGGCCTCGCTCGCCTGAAACCGCGAAGGCTCAGGTTCTTCTGAGTTGCAGAACGCCGACCTCAGGACAACGATCGACAAGTGGATTGTGCGAAGAAAGTTGTAATAATCTATGTGAAGCAAGAAGACGTGTGGGTGGGTATCCATCGGCGACAATACCACACCCTCTGGGCGACACGCGACGGGCAAACCTTCCTTCCAAGTTGCGAGGCGTTGGTCCACCTGTGAAATTCTCTGAAGCCTAGAAATAGCCGAGCAATCCGATTGCATCACAAAACAGAATTGATTCTGAATTTGATGCAACAAATACCACCACTGAACGATGTCGAGGAATCCAGAACTGGCCTCGAGTTCGGTGAAGGGCTGGTGGTCAATGACCATGCACTTTTCGAATACTTCGGTTGATGTCCCAGGTGAGCGCCCTTGGGACAGTGACAGATTGCTGTTGAGGCACGTTAATAGGCCAAATTTGAACAAGTGTTCTGTCAGGCTCAGCTCACGCATCGAGACCAAAAGTCAAGAACCATAGGCGAGTGCGAATGGCGCGGCGGCGCTCGGAAAACCCAACATCTGGCGGACTTCTTTGGTGCAACCCCAGAGACTGCGCGATGCGGACTGCAAGGCCGCAGAACACCCATGCTATTCCGCATCTGCCGAAGTAAAGCTGATATACGACCTATTATCCAACTACTTGTCAGTATAGATCTCTTACAATCGGGCATTACGTGTCGTGATAAACTTACGTGAAGTAGTAGAATCTGCACAGAAGCTTCGCATGGAGCTGCCAGCGAGTCCAACATAATGGACCAGGCCTGTCGGTAGCAGGTAGAATAGAGCTCATCCGCATCTCTGCATGGTTTAGATATAGCGCCTCTATCACTGAGAGCTCCTATGGAGATCGCAAGGTAGAGCTTGCAGTAATCGAAAATGTCGAGCTGAATGCGCTCCTGAGTGTAAAACATCTCAACCCGGGCCATGAACAGATCCTCATCTAATATGGGCAGAGTGGCATTGATGTTACGGAAGTATGCTGCACACAAAGATAATCTCAGCCATACGCCATACAATTCTTGTGATTGTGGTCCACCAACCTTGCAAGCTGCAAAAAGCTGTGTCTCGAGGTGGCAGTGACTGCGAAGAAAGATTCTGTAAAGAAGAAAGACCAATTTCCTCAACCTGTGGACCTGCTTCGATGAGAAAGCGGAGTTTGTAAGGCTCTAGGGGAAGATGTTGGCTTTTGAGACCGTCTGCTAGGCAAATAGCCAGTGTAGCAGCGACTGAGCTTCCACCTGATAGTATGCAACGTGTTAATCATTCAGGTGGGCAACGTGATATGTTGTAGACTTGGCAATTCACTTACCGAGATGATGTCCCTGAGTTTCATTCTGCCGAATGTAGATAGCGGGAGGCCCCGCGTGGGATTGCGAATCTGGATACTTTCCTTCACCCCGTAGAGTTTCTATGTTGGATACTTTGCCTCTTGTTAGGTTTTGGGCCAAGGGCTTGGAAGCCGATACCCCAGGGGAAATTGATGGCGAATTGTCGAGTTCGCCGTTTTGAGATAGCTGAGCCCGCAAGTTTGGATCGGCCTCAACCTCCACAGCCAGAAGATCTGTGTTAATGTCGAAAAACTCTTCTGAGTTGGTGCTGTCAAAATCCCACAAATCAGGGGGTGCTGCGTCTCCAGAGTGGCGAAAGTCATGACGGGAACGTTGGGGTCCTGCTTCGCCGTCAAGACCGGCGTAAGGAGACCATGAACGTGGCATCGCCGCTTGGTTTTCGAACCTAGGGCTTGCATTCATGGCAGGGTCTATTGAAAGGCACATCTTGGGATCGTTGTGTTGGTACACCGTATGATGACCGCGAGCATGGATGGTGCTTTCAGCAATCCCACTGTCATGTTCAGAATTTATCGAGCTATTTAGGGTTGAACGCCGCCTTCCTCGGTCCGACGAAATACACTGGGTGTTGTAAAGTTGGCAATTGAGGCAGGGCCGCTGGCCAGATGTGCATTTCAACTGTCGGCGTGAGTAGGTAAACACAACTATCTCGTGGAATCGAGAGGAAAGGCATTTTCACGCACCCTTTTCTTACGGCAGTAGTCGCAAGCTCGAGCGACTCGCTTCGGTCGGTGGTGATGATTGGTGGGCGAACCAGACGAATCAGGCATTTCATCTAAGTGATTGCAGCGTCCCCAACAAATCATCCAAGCAGAATTGGTACGAAGAGAAATGCAGCCAGACGATGGTGATACAGGGCGAGCTCCGCTGATAAAAGAGTTCGCATAGGCAATGCACGGGCTCGCAGAGCTGCCGAACTACCTGTCGATCATTTATCTCTCTGTCATAGATGGATGGCCAAGCATCGATTCTACCCGACGGCAGTGCACACGCGACGTAAGGGAAACAAAGTTAAATCTACATAACCACGTAGACACCGTTACACCAGCTCATGGGCTGATCCATGTCCAATGCTAGGCTACATCAGACGAAAAGTAATTTACTCAGACCCTGTCGCACGCCAATGGATTTCCTGGCCAGACCTTGTACTCAGGATCGTCTTCCCCCATCTCTTCCGCGAGCAGTTCTCTCAATGACCGTCCATAGTCATTGCCATTGGGAAGTCTCTGAATCGTGTGAATATGATATTTTGCAGGTTCGTCGTTGGTAAGGAAGACCCCGGAGTGATGGTCAAACTCAAAGAGCGTAACCGGACTCTGAATTCGATAGTAAAAAGGGTCCGTCGAGCTAAAGCCGCCTATCCAACAGAAATAGGTTTCCGCAAGGTGTTCGCGAACATCCGCTAGTCGGAACTCAAGTGGCCCTGGCGGAAGAAGCGTAGAGGTGGAAATGATCGACACAAGCAATTCCCGCTGCTCGATGGTCATGTCGGTAGCTAGGACGCCTTCGTAAGGGATAACTCGGTTATCTTGAAAGGCGCCAGCCAGATGTCTCTGCGCGTGTATATTAGCCTAGATTTATGTCCGGTGCTCAATACGCGCACCTGATCAGCCGGGTTCCATCGACCCTCTGGCATAGCTGAGTCGTGCAATCCGGAGTATAGTTGCGCTTTCTTTTGCATTGCCGGCGAAAGCGACTGCATTAGTCGTAAACCCAGCTCGCTTTCCTCCGCACACAGCGTTATCCCTTTATCCGGACCATCGTCAATAATCTGAGTGCATGTAAGCGACCTCCATATCCGCATGCTGACTTTCACTCGAAGTCCGGGTTTGACATACACTTGGCTCAGCCCCGATAAAGACTGGACCAATGACCATCTGCTGTCGAGCGATGAAAACATTGAGAGCAAGATGGTGGCCGAAAAGCATGTACGACCAGGGCTCTGTCTCTGAAGGTTCCCCGAAGATCGCAAAGCTATGCCGTCAAGAGTCAGTGTGGCCGTCAGAAATATCTGGGTTCACTTACAAATAACTATACTCGTTCAAAATCGCCTTTTTACCGCAAAGTTCACCGAGAAATTTGTTAGTCTTCATCGCCCCTCTAACTTTATCGAACCCCTTGTCGTCAAGGGAACTCTGTACGAGGTTCATGATGGATTCGATTTTCGCTTCTTCCAAATATTCGAGACGTAGGCCACATTTGAACAACACGAATTCGGGGTTCATCCATTTTCTCCTATCGCAGATTTGAGTTTTCAGTTAGCACTTCCTAAATTGGATTTGACATCCTGACTTACCAGTCCTCGGAATCAAGGCTATGCGAGACGATCCTTTTCTCGCTAGGGCTCAGAACCTGCAACAACGTCCGGGCTGCTTGCACCTGGAGTCTTTCAGCCACACTCTTGATTCTCATGCGCAGTGATCGAGCTACCATATTTTGTGTTGGAGCCACTTCATCCCGAAGAACATAGAGTCCCTCTTGTTTACGGCCATCGCAAGTGATGCCATGAAACGGGACCTCGAGATTTGCTTTCCAAGCTTTCCAAAGCGGCTGAAGTTCCGGATTGGTCACGATAGTTGTTGAATACTTGTACGGGTCGCTGTCGTCAATGTCTCCGAAACGTTGCCATCCTGTAAAATGCCGTCATTATGCGATTCAGACCGTCGGCCCAATCATACAACTTTCCTTGTTTAGGTACATGGCTATGATAGTCATATGCGTTTAAATCGTCGGAGGTTTGGGCCATGATAACATTAAGGGTGCCAGTCGCGGTATGGCTAGTACTCTCAAGAATTCGGAGGTAATTATTGCAAGATTAAGGGGTCGTATATGTGTCGGCGATGAAATACGCGAGATCAGGTCTACTGCTTGACTGCCCGTTTTTGGTTTCGGTTCCGTGGAAGATGTGGCAAATCCAAGTCTGGAAGATGAAGCTTTACCCGCCATCTCACACTTAAGGCATTGAATTCGATGAACTACCAATCATAAGCCGTTTGAATGGAGATGCAGATAGATATAATTACGGAAGACTCCTGATAGTGTTGCACTCCCAGCCTCCCCAAGCCCGTGGTGTTTTGTCTCATCGCAAATTCACAATGTCTGGCACTGTGAGAGAATTCAATGACAAATACACAAATGCCAATCTGGCAAATGATGCATCACTTTACGATGAGACCGTTTTCCACCACCTAGTGCGACACCTGGAGCTTGTGGACGGCGGAGCTATTGCGCCTGTTGCGCCTGGTATAATTGTGAGTTGCGATGCTTTTCTGTCAGATAAAGGGACGCAGTGCTGATCGTACCTAAAGGCCGCAATGCTTTGCGCTCAACGCCGTGGTGATGCGGTTCCTAGACTATTCCACGATCTGGCCAAATCGAGAGACGTCGACGGAACGAAGATGTTGTTCGCGTCATTCAAACTTGCCCTCGACCTGACTTGGCCTTTTACGGGACTGCCACAATGCGTTCCCGCCTGTCTAGGTTTGATCGGGGAGCTTCGAGAGCTCGGTATCAGCATGTCCAATCAGATTGACAGGCAAGCTTTACCCCCAGCTACACGATATGCTACACAATTGATGACATTCCACCAAGACCCTTGATCACAGATGCCGACTGGTTCGAGAAAGGAATCGATACCAACGAAGCCATTTACCGCGCTGTGGGAAACGCCGAAGTTCATCGTATGATGGGGGAGGTCTTCCCCGAAATTAGTCAGTGATTGCTGCCCCATTTTGACTCGTCAAGCTCACGTCTACTAGCATACATCGCGAACATTGCGGTATTTGGTTTCCTGGTTGGAGGCTCTGAGAGAACTCAAAGTCTTCCTTTATGCGAAATCACCATTGCCGGCGCAATAACCGCACTGGGGGCAACGAGGCAGGCGAAGAGTCACTTGAAAGGTTCCATGGGACTGGGGATATCCGTGGCAGCGATTGAAGCTGTTCTAAATGCCGCGGAACAGGTGGCAAAATGGAATGATACTAAGCTTCCCGGGAAGATTGATGTGACAGTCTTAGCCAAGGAGGTTGAGACGAATCTTAGGAATCTGAGCAGAGTGTAGTTAGTCCATATTGACTTCCAGAGAAGGTTTGAAATATTTGGGGCATGGAAACAAGATGAAACTTTTCGGACGATAATTCCCTTTTTGAGGTGTAACTTTCCGAGGTCGTCACGATTAGGGTGTTCTTCATCATTTCTTAGGAACGTCGTTCAAATTTCTCGGAAGGTCTATTGACCGAAATCGGTCCTCGGACTGGCATGACTACCGGCAAGGCTCGCATAGTTCATCTGATCATGACCCATGGAAAAGTCGGGAGAGCGATGTACCGCGGCCCCGATCGTCACCATAAACCCTTCATACCTTACCTAGGTCAACTATGGCAATCAAAGCGCATGTGCTGTTGGTACCAGGGAATCATCAATTAGGCGGGCTTTGCGAAGTATTTGGCATTCAGGCCTCCGTGGAAATTCCCTCCATGCAGATCTCGATCTTCCGACCATCTAGGCACCAAGCCTTCGCACCTATTCCGGGAATAAATCATTCTGAGCCTTTGTTTGTAATAGTTCCTTCACAGTTCACTATACCAGATTGATAGAAAATTCTGTCTCACGGCAATACTAAGCAATATCTAATGCCCAGAATGGACTCCAAACTGGTCATCAACGGTAACAACGTGCCTCTTTGCGACACAATTCCACCCGAAAATGAAGACAATTGTTTTACGTATTCATTCAAAGAAAGAAGGAAAGAACTTCTGCCCATGGGGTGGCGAAAGACACCGCGAAGTCGACCTCTTCCTAGCGAGATAATCTACGAGGTGAATGAGGAGATGAAGCACTCCGATGGAGTCAAAGTAATACCACCACGCCGCAAAAGCCACAAACAAGTAAGCCTAACCAAATGCTGCAGATATACTACGATGTTTGTCGGCCGAATACTTCGGAAAAAGTCCCTGCGCTTCTTGCCCTCAGCCCCTACGGAAAAGGGGGGCATGGATTCCGCAACTACGATCTCATGCCGTATAGGGTTGGCGTGAAAGAGGAAATGCTCTCTGGACTGGAGAAGTTTGAGTCGTATGTTAAATTGAAGTCACTCTCATACTCGGATGATTGCTTAAGAAGTTCACAGGGCTGACCCCGCCGAATGGGTTCCACGAGGTTACGCCATCATCAGCGTTGATGTCCGGGGTTCGTGGGACTCGGAGGGAGACCTATTCATTGAGGGAACAGGGTCCGGTACAGACGTGTCATTTTATGTTATCCTTTGAAGACAACTGACAGTCTTGCAGGCCGAGATGGTGCAGAAATCGTGGAGCATATCGCTAGTCTGCCCTGGTGCTCGGGCTCCGTGGGAATGCAAGGCAATTCGTGGCTGGCCCAAGTACAATGGAGCACCGCGTCCCTTTGCCCTCCATCTCTTAAGGCTATTGCGCCCTGGGAAGGCTTCACAGATAAATATCGCGACGTGTTGTGTAGAGGCGGCATACCTGACGCTACCTTTGATAACCTTCTCTATCGTGCAACCGTCCGCGGCCGACAGAAGCGAGAAGATGTCGCGAAAGCAATCGAGAAGTGGCCGCTGATGAACCCCTACTGGGAAGACAAGATAGCCAAAATCGAAAACATCGACATCCCCATGTACGTCGTCGCAGGCTACAGCTCCAGCATCCACAGCTACGGAACCATTCAAGGCTTCCGAACGGCGAAGAGCAAGAAGTGGCTTCGGGTTCACTGCACACAAGAATGGTTTGATATCTACAGACCCGACATGACAGACGAGCTTCAAGCATTCTTTGACCGGTATTTGAAGGGCATTGAAAATGACTGGGAGAAGACCAACCCGGTGCGGGTGTCAATTCTGACGTTTGGAGATCGCTTCGGCCCTGTGAGTGCCTCAATCTGCCTTAGGACCCATGACTAATCAGTCGCTCATGCTAGAAACCGATCGAGCACTTCCCAATGGATAGCTATCCCCACGCAAAGACTGAATACAAGAAGCTCTACCTAACCGAGGGCCATCTTTCCCTCTACTGCCCGGAGTCCACTGGCGTCGCTTCGTATCAGTCTGAAGTCAAATCGGAGACAGCAGACCTTTTCTTCACATTCACGGATACCACCACATTGATGGGATTCACCAAAGCCAAGCTTTGGGTCTCATGCAATGATGCGGACGACATGGACATCTATGTTAGTTTGAGGAAAGTGGACAAGTCTGGAAAGGTCCTTGAGCACGTCAATATACCATGGACCGCGATTCCCAAGAGCCACAACTATCAAGAGGATGTGGTAGGCTCAAATATTATCAAGGTCAGTGGTTCGGACCGTTCTATGAATGCATGTTGACTCATTCACGCGCAGTTCACTGGATCTCACGGAATGCTGCGCGTCTCCCATCGTGCTACTGACCGATCCAAACAAAACTCCATCATGCCATATCATCCCCACAAGGAAGTCCAGAAGGTCCCGCCGGGCGAGATCGTGCCTGTTGAAATAGGTCTTTGGCCCATTGGAATGCAGTTTTACGAAGGGGAAAGTCTTCTGTTTCGAGTGGGTGGCAGTAAAGACGCCTACTTGGAGATACCAGATATGCAAACGCCTAGTGTTTACGGGATAAACAAGGGCAGGCACCATATTCATTTTGGTGGAAAGTTCGATTCATATGTAGTTGTTCCCTTCATTCCAACTGTTTGAATACTAAGCACGGTTGTTGAGGGCACAAGTTTGTAGCCATTACTCCCCAAGCCATCGTATCTCTTTCCCATGCAGACTGTTATCTGTGATAAGTCACTGAGTTCTGAGAACGGTTACGACTCTCGTGGGCGGGACAGGAGGATGTATCGTAGTTATATATGCCTTGTGATTTATTTCTTGTCTGTAGCAGGTAGGTCTCGAGCTTCATGACACGTAGAGGGCGATAACGTAAGGGAGATAGAATAATATGCCGTTCAATTGATACGTCAACAGCATTCGAATAAGCTTGGCCAGGACAGCAAATCTGAGACCACACTAGGTGCCCATGATCAAAGAGCGTCTGATCAATAAATGTCGGCGTGGAAGCGCTGGTCTGTTCATCTGTGGAACATCCAGACATCAAGAAAAGGAATCCTTCCAGACACACGAAAGAAGGTGTAGGTTACGTTGACCAGTTTCTTCGGTGTTCCAAAATGTCCGGCATTGACTAGAACATCCACGGAGAGGTGAGGGAAACCTTAACATTAGGCCCAGTGCACGTGCGTCCTCGGAAGCAATGTCATGAGAACCAGTACACCCATTTTTCGATAATTCTACAATTAAGTAACCTATTTTCATGGCCAAAAATTGAGACTTGATCAAATTGATCACCATGTCTACCAATTTTTCCCATCTCATTCCTGCCCACTGTGGCACCTTCACAATGACAGACGTTTCCCAAGCACCCGAAAACCCAAATAATCAGAACCGCAAGCCGCCGGCGACGACCACGGTCCTTATCGTCGGCGCGGGCCCTGCGGGATTGATGACCGCGTATCTTCTAGCCAGGCAAAAAATCCCCTCCATCATAATCACACGCTACCCTTCGCGACTAGGTCAACCCAAAGCTCACGCCGTCAACCCCAGAAGCCTTGAGATAATGAGGCAAGCCGGGCTTGACATCAGCAAGCTGCGAAGCCTAGGCTCAACGACACAAGACTCCTTTTGGGTTCGATTCAACTTGGGCCTGGCGGCTCAGGAGTTGGGGAAACTTCCATACGAACGGCAAGACGATGCTGTCAAAGATGTCACCCCTGAGCCTCTCTTCAACGTTGCACAGCCGGCTTTGGAAGAGTTTCTTCAAGAAGCGGTCCTTCTGAGTGGAATGGTTTCCATCTACTCTTCATGGGACTGGGAGGATGTCGAGTTCGAAGAAGGAAAGCTGATTTCATTGATCGCAAGCAGATCAGACCCTTCTACGACGGTGAAGATAACATCAGAGTACGTCGTAGGCGCCGATGGGGCTGATTCCATAGTCCGCTCCAGACTGCCCAACGTCATATGGGCATCACCCGATGGGATAGAAAGACCAAAGAGATTCTACTGCTCGATTCATGCATCCGGCGACTTAACCAGATCATTTGCAAACAGAGACAGGCGCGGTCAGCTGTCCTTCTGTCTCAACCCGGACCACAGAGGAGGGCTAATTATTTACGATCCGCAACACTCTTGGGTTCATGTACGGCCCGTCGAGCTCGAAAATGAGCCCCTTGGGAGTTTCACGGATGCCAGATGTCAGGAAATAATCCGTTCCTGTATCGGATCGAATGTGGAAGCGAAGATTCTGTCCGTGAATGTCTGGAACACGTGGCCCAAGGTAGCAAGTGCCTATAGCGATACTATTCAGCGAATCCATCTCGTCGGAGACTCGGCACACTCTTTCCCTCCTCAAGGAGGCCTGGGCATTAACACCGGGATAGGAGACGCTCACAACCTAGCATGGAAACTCGGCATCGCCATCCGTTCTGGGACGCACCTCGCATCTTTGTTGGTTACGTATTCAGAAGAACGACAGCCTGTAGCGGTAGCAAACTCGGTTCAATCGGCATATAACGAAGCCAGGTGGCTTGATCTTAACAAGACGGTCGAGAAATTGGTTCGAAAGGCTTCGGCTGAAAGAGCATCATTCAGCTGTCATGCGATGAAAATGGAGTTCGAACAGAGCCTGGCACTCAACAAACCGCATTTCGATTCCCTGGCTCTTCAGATTGGATACGTGTACGACAAGAGTAGAGACCCCAGACGACTTCTTGCGGACTGCTCGGATTACCAGCCATCGTCCGCCATTGGTGCCCGACTCCCGCATGCGTGGCTTGCAAATGGTAGGTCGACGTTGGATTTGATTCCCGAGGGAGAGTTCAGCCTTCTTCACTATGACAGAGGCTTGAAGTATCCCAGTTCGAGCCGTAGGGTTGGCTCCAGCGATGTTCGGCTGCGCAGTGTGGACGTCTCTGTCGCCGGTGCAGAGGGGCCTTGGATCAGCATCATGGGGCTTAGAGGGGGAACCGCTGTTTTGATTCGACCAGATCAACATATCCTTGGTCACACGGGATCTGTAGACGAAGCATGGGCTATCATTGGCCGATGTCTTGGCAAAGAAGCTGATTTGAATTCGAGTTAGCTTTGTGGGAACATGTTTCCAAGAAAAAATTCGAATTACACAGATCTCGGTCAAAATTTTGTCAGGTTTTCTCCAATAACTTTCTATTCCAAAACAATATGATTGTAAGCCGAACATCTAATGCTCTCACCATCTAGGTGGAGAGGAAGCTATTACTTTTCATTCTCAACTGCTGAGTGAAGTTCACTTGGGCAACTGCATCCATCTTATACTTTAAAGAACACTCAGCACAAAAACAGAAACAAAAATGCAGCTGCAGTCTCTTTCTCAGGATCCAACTCAAAAATAACATAAAGATCTTATTGCTCTAGCCTTTTTAGTCAGCTTCTACCTCTTGATTGAGTTGTACAAAGCGTACGCAACTCAATGAAGGCGAGTGCACTCACGTAGGTGACGTTTTTTAGCATTCGCCTTTGACAAAGCTATTCCTTTAGCAAATTAGAGGCCCACTGCTCTCGCCTTTGGAGTCTTAATTCGACTCACGGTGTGGCAACTGAGGTAGATATAGGGGGCACAACTCAATTATGGCGAGTGCAGCCTGGACAGTTCAACAGCACCCGCCTCCAGAGTAGGAATTGAACACAGACTGACCCAATCCATCATGCAGAATAAATCAGATCAGTTGGGCACTTTTCAGCTCTTCTGTACTTATTTTTTCCGGAAATCTTATTTGAAGACTCAATGCCTTAATGCTCTCGCCTATTTGGTACTGGATAAGCTCTCGCCATGTGAGCAAGGTAGAAAAAGTGGTCACAAGTCAATGAAGGCGAGTGCACTCGCTTTGTAAGTTTGAGAGCACCCGCCTCAAACAGAGGACAAACACACAGACTGTACGAGACCTGGACTGTTATCTTGCATTTACCTCTTTTGCAATCTTTTTCCAACCCACAATCACTCCTCAACTTGTGTCCATCACCAAGAGGCAATTCGATCAACTATTCAACTCCACGACGCCTGAGTCGCCGCAAACAGAACTCCGCAGCAGGTCGCTAAACCGGTTTCGGAGCTTCAGCCACTCCGGGAACCGCGGGGCACCCCTGTAGCGGAATTTCTGGAACCCTTCAGACGCAGCTGAATAAGCTACAGGCAGCCGGAAGCAACGTCGACTTGGCCACAGCCACCAGCCACGTCAGGTACACGACCGCCTGGCTCAGCGAATGTCGAATGTGGTACATGTACCCGTACCCCCACACCTGGACCGACTTTCCTTCATCATCATTGTCGTTGACCTTCAACAACACATTGGAAGAGATCGCCGCGACTACAGCTTCAAGATGTCGGGCGAATCTCCCGAGGCGCGGGAGAAGAGGCTCGTGGGGACCGTCCAGATCCGGATCCTCGAGGCCTCGAACAAGGAGGACAAGCTCAACGACATTCTGAAGAAGTACCTGTGCGCCCTGCTGCTGAAGGCGACCAGCGACCATGCGTCGGTTCGCAATGAGGTGAGAGACATCCTGGTTTTGATGGTTTCAATTGATTCTCATGCTTGCCGCAGGTGATTCAATTTGCTGGAAAGCTGAAGACGCTTATCATGCACCCGAGGTATGCCGGTTGTTCCCTGACGATTCTGCCGGGTTGATTGAGATCTGGCCAGACTGACGGTGGCGACAGCATCATTTTGCCAGTTGAGGCTCTGGTCGACCAGTACAAGAAAGCCACATCACCCATCCTGCGCGTCTTGGACATGTCATTCATCCAGCACAGCATTGGCCGTATGGAAGATTATGACCGCCGCGCCCTCGTCAGCAAAGTTGCCGAGGGCATCTCATCACCGTCGCCGACCCAAGCGTCAATGTTCAACGTCCTCCTCAAGATTCTCCCCGACATCCAGGTTCCATCACGCGGTAGCGAGGAGGACATGGCGTTCCGCGAGGCTAGCGGCCTGACCGACGATGCGGACGCCGCGTTCATCGCCAAATGGCTCGGCAAGGTGCTCCTCCTGAGAATCCCCGGAGGCTCCAGTCCCAGCCGCCAGGACTTTGAGAGGATGAACCCTGCACTCACCCCGGAAGATCTGGACTTTCTCAAGCCTGAGCAGCGCGACACGGCGGCGGCATTCCAGAAGATGCAGGACCTGCGCCGCAAGATTGCGCAGCTGCTGGCGAGCGGAGCATTCAAGGACGAGGAGAGGCTTTTGCCCGCTCTGTCTGCTGCCGCAAGCCCGGACTACCAGGTTTCACAGGTTGGAGAAGACATTCTAAAGAGAATGACGATCGACTTTGAGAAGAAGGAGATTGTCGAGGAGCTTTATAACTCTCACGCCAGACTGCCAGCGCCGCACCGCATTAGAATCCTCGGTCTGCTGTCCCGGTCCACGCTTGCGACGACAATGCACGACCGCATCCACGCCGTTGTCACCCTGGACTTCGGCACCGAGACTACATCAAACACCCCTGCCCATCTCCAAGCTGCCAGCGGCCTCGAGCGAAACAAGCTTCACAAGGCCCTTTTCCACTTCATAAACTGGACAGCCACGCGGGGCCCGACCCAAGGCCCGTTCACGATCGGCTCCAAGCTCATCGACATGATGCGCGGATACGTCGAGGACCAAGGCTGGCCCTCCCCGCGCACCTTGTCCGCAGACGAAGAGGTCCTTCGCGCCATGGCCTACGATCTCCTGGGGTCTCTGGGAATGGGAAGCTCCGGCTCCGCACAGGACAAGCTGCACCTCGTCGGCTGGCTCTTCCGCTCCCTCTCGGAGGATCCCACGAACGAGACGGTTGTTAACATCGAGGGCTCGCTTTCGGGACTGACAAGGAGCTTCGACCCCAAGACTGTCAGCGGCGACGGACGCGGCAGCGGAAACGTGAGCCTCATCTCCCTGCTGCTGCACTACATGAACCTGTCCGAAGACGCTCCCGCGGTGCGTAGCGCGCGCTTTTCGGCCGTTAAGTGGGCGAATCAGACCATTGCATCGTGGGACGAGAGGGGACGATGGATCGACATTCTCGCCATTGCTGGACGCAGGGGCGAGAGGACGGAGGTTGTCGAGGAGGGCCGCAAGGGCTTGGACCCGTGGACGTACCGGGACGGCGAGGACCACAAGATGCCGGACTGGATTAAGCTGATGGTCTACTTCTTTTGCGAAAAGATCTCGGACGACTTTACTAGTGACGACTTCACTAACGCGACGAAGAAGTACAACTTGGAGTTTGAGGACGAGGCGACGATTCAAAACTTTGAAGGCGAAAGGATATCGGCGTACCCCGTGGCCGTGGAGTACGTCAAGAGAGCCCTGTTTGTCGCCGCGCTCCCCGATTTCCCGCTTGTCCCCGGATGGGCTGAGCAGCTCGACACCCAAGTCCGGAACGACATCAAGACCCGCGCCAAGATCCGCGCGTACCTCCGCTCCATCGACGAAGAGCATGTTGCCCTGTTGATCACGGTTTGCTTCGACGGCGTCCGCTTTAGGAACAAGGAGGGCGCCAACCCCGTCGTTGAAAGTTGTCTGCGCTCTCTCGTCGACATCGCCTCGCTTTCCCCGTCGGGCGCCATCAACCACATTGCAGGCAACGCACACCTGCTGCAGGCATGCACGAGAAACAACAACCGTCACATTCGCTTCCTCGCTGCTCAAGCGTGCGGCATCCTGGTTCCTCATCCTCTTAACAAGGCGGATCTGGACATTCCTGATACGACAGCCGCTCAGCAGGTCAGGAACCAGCATATCCAGGAGTTCTTGCATAACCTTAAGGCCACGGCTTATGCATGGGAGAATTCGGTGGGCTCATACGCCAACGCGGTGGAGGGTTCTATACAGGCTTTCGGGCACATCTTCTCCAGGGCCGTGTACTACGGCCTGCCTATCCCAGCCGATACGCATTTGCCGTCGAAGCTGCTCATGGACAAGAGCTCCCACCGCCCATCTCTCGAAGACGCGATCCTCGACTGCTACGCCGAGCTCTGGACCGCCGGCCTCTCGCAATACATCCCGGACAATGTTAACAACCTCACAGCGGATTACGTGATCGAGAGACTCGGAGAGAAGGCTGCAGCCGGAAGCGACAAGGCCATTTTCGCTCTGGGCCGGCTTGCGCTTGCATTCAACGAGCCCAACGAAGAGGCAACCCCCGAGGATGGCCTGCTGTACCCATCAAGCAAGACTTCCGGCATCGACAATGTCCTCCGCGTGCTCTTCGGTCTTCACACCAGGCGCGAGACGGAGATCCAGTTCACCGTGGGCGAGGCCATCACCGCCGCCATCGCATGCTGGGACTCGGACTTTGTCAAACTCACCCTCAACGTCGACGCTCCCGCCGGATCCTGGAAGAAGGAGAAGCGCAGCGTCAGAGTCACTGCCGTCCTCGATAAGCTGTTCAAAGACTGCAAGACGACTAAGCCCTCTCTTCTCAAGGCGTCCGGAATCTGGCTTTTCTGCGTGGTCCAGTACTGCGGTCACCTGACCGAGGTCCAGTCTCGTTTGAGAGAGGCCCAGGTCGCCTTCATGCGGCTCCTCAGCGCGAGAGACGAGCTGGTGCAGGAGACTGCCTCGCGCGGTCTGGCGCTGGTATACGAGAAGGGCGACGAGGATTTGAAGCAGGATCTGACCAGGGACTTGGTTTCTGCCTTCACCGGAAACAGCACGCAGATCAAGGTCGAGGAGGAGACAGAGCTTTTTGAGCCCGGTGCTCTACCCACAGGCGAGGGCAAATCCGTTACTTCGTACAAGGATATCGTCAGCTTGGCAAACGAGGTCGGCGACCAGAGCCTGGTGTACAAGTTCATGTCTCTCGCCACCAACGCGGCGACCTGGTCGACGCGCTCTGCCTTTGGCAGATTCGGTCTGAGCAATATCCTCTCCGAGTCAGAGGTCGACCCGAAGCTGTATCCCAAGCTTTTCCGCTATCGCTTCGACCCGAACTCCAATGTCCAACGGTCCATGGACGATATCTGGAAGGCTCTCGTCAAGAACCCTAACGAGACGATCAGCACCCACTTTGACGCCATCATGCAGGACCTTTTGAAGAACGTCCTTGGAAAGGAATGGCGCGTACGTCAGG